TGGCAGCAGTTCAAACAGGGTAGGGTCAGACCCCCACCCTCACCCCACCCTGTGGCAGGCATCCTGGTCGCTCTCCCTCTCAGTGGGCTCACTCGTGCTTAGTTGCCTGTGCTGTGATCCTGGCAACGAAGTAGGGCTAGACAGAGCCCATTATATTGGAGAGTCATGAAATCAGGTCGATGAAAAAATCAGGTCGATGGAAAAAAGTATCTGGATAGTGTGTTTCCTTGAGTGTGTCAGGTTTCCTGAGCCCAAAGAAGGCACGATGAAATTCTCCACTACATTCGTCAGGGTACAGTGTGCATTTTCTACACCAGGCTGGTGCCTCTATATTAAAGGGCCACTTTCTAGTCACTGCTTTTGGTACAAAGAACAAAATTGCTGCAGATCATATATGGAACTCACTTGCTTCCCATCTTGTTGGCTTCTGTGTCCTTCAGTTTGCTAGGATTTATTTTAATCCCTAGCCCTTGTTTCAAAATATTTTGTTGCTCTGGTGATATGTACTATGATCATTCAAGGTCCCAGTACTGCTCTCTTGAGTCTATCTACTCCTAATATCTTGAAAGCTTGACTGAACTTAAAGATCCAATTATTTTCCCTTTATTCAGTTCTATAGCGTCTATCACATTTTAGAATGTATGAACTCTAAATGGTACTGTCAGTTCTGAAGAATACAACCAAGAAGTTTGGGGATTTTCATTTATGCAGGTTAGAATTCTTTTCACCCCTTTCTATTTTAATGGACCCTTTTTAGGAGCATAGATGGCTTTCAGACAGACTATTTCTTAGGACCTGAAACAGTTAAGTATATATTATAGCAATTTCAGAGAGCTAGCTAGGATATTTCAAAACAATTGCCTTAGGAGCAGTGGGTTACAGTTGATACTGGTTTTGAAAATTACCACGTGTTTAAAACCTGTCTCTTTTGTATCCATTTTTATAGAATTTAAAAAATAGCTACACTAAGAAAGAGGAGGTAAACTGTTATATTGCTAAAGAAAAATTAAATATTTATAGGATACCATGAAAATAGCATAATGCTTCATTAAATTTTTGAAGTTTTATCATACTGTTAGGATTCATCAAGGAAATAGAAGCATGATACAAATCCTGCTCAAAATTTCCAGCACAGTGATAGTAATGTGTTAATTTGAAAACTGTCTTCTTAAGCTCACAGTTCTTGTGAGCCTCTCTGAATGTCACAAATGTATATTGCTCTATATTTATCTCACCACTGCTAAGAAGTTATGAGTAATAGAAATGCCTGAGCAGACTGTTAAAATAGAAATGAACATAGACCAAAAATACGGGTGGCTAGCAAATGATTCCTTCTCAAGAATTTAAAATATTGGAAGAGAAGAAAGTGGTCAGAAAAACTGATAATTATTCCACATCTTTATGTAGTCTTTAAAAGAGCCTTTCAGGCTGAAGGAATTGGTGAAAACAGGCAGGGCAAACTTTTAGCTCGTTGCTGTCACTGACCACCATTAGGTGGCAATAGAGAGCAGATACAGTACCAATTTTGAGGTTGTGGGCGCATAGTTTCCACGCCAGGGGGAAAGGGGAAAAGATCTCTTCTGAGATAATCTGTTGAAATATCCATATAAAACATAAGCACCTGTCTCAGGAACAAAATTAAGATGCTTATTTTTCACCAAGCTAGGCCAATGTAATATTTCAGTCAACAAAAAGTGCTAGTCAAAATTATCATTCTATTTCTTGTCATCTGTCATCTTAAGAAACTATCCAATCAATATCTTGTGGCTTTGTTTTGCTGATCTGAAAAATGAAGTTGAATTATTACCAATATTGTTTTAACACGAAAACATTCAAGAATTAGCAAATAAATGCCAATTGTGACAGCTCACTGACGTGACGTGAAGCTGATGAAAAGCAACTTTACATAGCAGGGAAAACTGACTGAGGAGATATGGAGACTCTATAGGCTCCCCAAGGAGAACACAATTTGTCTTTATCTTGTCCAGTTTATTGGGTTTAGAGATAAGGAACTAACATTCATCCTCAGCCTCATGGGGTAGTCGGTGCACAAAATAAAAAGACACAAATGTGCCCTCATATATAACTATTAACAATACTGATTCCTTTATTGCTTTTAAAATAAAGTCAAGCACTGCAATTATTCACCTTTCCTCAAAACTGGCTCCTAGTTAACATGAAGGCGATTCCTGTTAAAGGTAAGCTATGAAAACTAGAGAGCTGTGGAATTAAAGGAACTGTGCGCTTAGAGCAATAGCCTAGTTCTAATTGTCAAAGGGACAGTTTATTTAAATGACTTAGGAAGTGGATTGGATTAAACGAACCAGTGAAATTATAGTGGTGATAACTAAAAGGGTATAGACAGACCTTAAAAGTAGCCTGCTTAATGTTAACGAAGGACTTAATTTACAAAATGGTGTTCACATTTTAATGAAAGGGAGCTATGAAAATAGACCAACAACTTTAGACCAAGCACTGAATGCTATGGCATAAAAGTTACAATTTCTACTCAATTTTAAAATTATTTAAATATGTGGAAATAAGCATGCCATTTTTAAAACATGACATATAGTTTAAAACTTTTTCTAGGAAAATAAATTATTTTCATATCTACAATTTTGTTGCACACTGCACTTGGTGCTGTGGTTTTGTGAGAGAACAGTTGACATCTTGGTTGTGATTTGACATATGGCATATGAGATTTGTTTAGTTTCTATTATATACACAGTATTTTGGAGTGATGGGCATGAACACTCAAAATCAGGTGGCTTTAATGTATACTCTGGCCAAAAGTTTTACTCCGGGGAAAATATTCTAAGAATAGCTCAGAAGAAGAAAACAGAACTTTGAATAAGAATGTTATGGTTATTTATGGTAATAAAAAATATTAGACCAATCTTAACTTCAAAAAATGAGAGAGAAATAGTCAAGAAAACTATCATGTGCCAGGACAGATGATGGCAGTCATTCTATCAGCTATTCTTTTTGTTGTTGTTGTTGTTGTTAAGTTTATGGGTACTTTTTAGGTATACAGTTCATCATTGGGATCTTGTGCCTTTACATGATTGTATCTTGGTTCTTATTTTTCCCCAATCCCCTGCCCTCCCTTCACCCCCTCCTCCCCTCTGTATTTATGAAGACTTTTGTTTTCATTTTTTCCTTTTCTCATATTTTTTCTTTTCCCTTCTTTCTTTTCCCCTACCCTTCCCACTCTATCAGTTATTCTGAAGTCATTTAAGATGAAAAAGAAAACTGTGATAAGACTAATTATTACAAAACAGCAGTAATGGCAATTAATATATATAAGTCTTCTGTATGAATATTTTACACAAATACAAAGTTCTATTATTTAAAAGAGAAATTGAAGAAATGGAATATCCTCATTTCAAAACATCTGGAAGTGGTTTAGATTTAATCATTCTTAAAACGATATATTTTATAATTTTAATAACATATATTGCTACAAATTTTACACTGATTTATAAGAGTAAACTATTTCATCATCTCAAGTCATCCAGGTGTCCAGTAATTCTTGCCTGTGCTTTAGTTCTAAGTTTATATATTCCATTTAAAGTCTGTCAAGTGAAATTTCTAAGAATATTGTTAGGGAGTGCTTCTAAGTAATAGATTCAAAGCTTGAATTTTTTTTTGTACCAGAACTCGAACTCAAGTTCTTGCACTTTCAAGGCAGGCGGTGGAACCCCTGAGCTAAATCCCTGGCCTTAAAGCTTGAAATTTTGCTTGTGAAAGTATGTAGAATGTGCTCTATGGACAGTATAGCTAGGGAGAGAATGAATAAAGATTTTCAGAATGGGACAGAAAATAGTCTCAGACTAGAGGGAACCTCAGAGTTCCCCCTCTAAACTTGAGCTAGTGATGTTTCTATAGAAAAGTTGCAGAAAGAACATTCCAGCCTATCAATAATCCAGTCATGACTACAAGAATCTAAAAACTTGTCCTCATGTCTCAACATATGGATCTAGTAACTAATTTAGTAGCCGTCAAAAAGTCACTTATGTAACTGCCATGCAAACTCTGATTTTCTTATTGCACTGCACAGCTATCATTTAGAAGAGAATGCTGTGGAAATGTGTTGTGAGTGAGTTGTATGCATTTCTTTCCCTAAAATGTAACACATGGACACTCATTATAAGTTACACCAAGTTTTATGTATTCAACAAATGTGTTAACTTTCCTTCATTGAAGTATTTATGTGGCTATACAGGATGCTAAGGCTTGTCATTTCCAATATTATAAGTATCTATTACAGATACTGGTCTTGATGCTTAGTTTAAAAAGAAAGGAAACTCTTTTGAGAGTTCAGTGCACTGGGAATTTCTACCAATATTTCTCTTCTAAGGTAAAATGTTACATGTTACCTGGATATTGTTTGTTGCATTTTATTTAAAGTTCTCTGTTTTCTCTTTTGAAAAATGCATGTGCCCTCTCCACATTGAGAACAGAGAATGTTAATTCAAATGTAGCATGGGATGTCTGCCTATCGATATTTCATCCATACTGTATGTGGAAATGTTGTCTGTGAGGGAAAAGTTGACAAAGTGACTGTGGATATTTTGCTGTTCAACTAAGTGTGGCTTACCTTCTGCTTGTTTGAGAAAATGTTGGGGAATAAGGCTGTATGAAGGTGTCTCTCCTGCCTATCCTAGTGGTTTGATGTCCATGTTCCTACCATATTCCTGACCTTTGAAAAATCAATGGGACTAAATCCTGACTTTTCCTTAAAGTTTGAGAAGACTAGATTGTGGATGTGTTCAATACATTTGAACCTTGGTTATTTTTATTTAATTTAAAGCACCCTTCAAATATTTTAGCTATTAATCCTTCAGAAGCCCTTTATTTGGTGATTTTTCTTTCTTCCTCTTGGTTTTTTACAGTAGGAAATATTAAATGTCAAGAAAATTATCATGCCATTATCCACAGTATCTTCTGACTTAGTACCAGTTTAAACATTTATTACATTGAAAATCATTTCATTTCAGCCACAGCGTCCTGTGTTTACTCATGAAAACATTCAAGGTGGGGGGGAACCGTAAGTATTCTTCTTATCTTCTAAATTCAAGACTAACTTTGAACCACAAAATACGTGATGGTTATACCAAAACAGAGGATTACAACTTTGCAAGTAAAAGAGATCAAAATAACTAACATGAGAGCTCTCAACTTAGAAAAAAACTGTAATGGTCTCCATTTTTTATGACATATCAAAAGCAAATGTTAGGGCTGGGAATTCAGCTCAGTGGTGCCACCGCCTGCCTCGCAAGCACAACGTCCTGAGTTCAATCCCCAGTACCAAAAAATAAACAGAAAAAAGCTAACGTTTAAAAGAAAAGAAGAAATTTTAGGAAAAACTTCCAATGCTTCAGTGATTACAAAAATTTATAAATCTGTCCTTTCCTCTGCTCTGCCAGCCGTGAAACTAATAACTACCATTTTTTTACTTTATTTTTTATTGGTACATTTTAGGTGTACAGTACAGTTACATTCATCATTGGTATCATTTACCTTTACATGGCAGGTCTTGCTTCTTACTTTTTCCCCATTCCCCTAGCCTCCCTTCCCTATTTACAAAGACTTTTTTCCTTTTATTTATTCTTTTCCTTTCTTCCCTTTCCCCTACCCCTCTCATTTCCCCAACACCTTTAGAACTCTTCTTCCTATTACACAGTATCAATTATACATTTTGACCCTTATTTACACTTTTAGTTTATTACACCAGCGAAACTATGTGGTATTTACATGTGTGTCCTATTAATTTCACTTAAGAGTGTGGCCTCAATGTGCATCCACTTAGTTATAAATGTCTCTACTTTCTACTTCCTTGTGGCTGAATAGTATTCCTTTTTTTTTTTTTAATTTTAAAATATACAAGGAAATGTCCTAAAATTGTTTTTCCACTTACTGGGACACTTTGAAAGCAGACCTAGTCTACTTTAATAACATCACTGCCAAGTTATCTACTTAGAAGTATCTTTTGAAAATGGCCATATTAAAATTTTCCCTATCCTTCAGTTACATGATCTCACTTCCACAGCACGTGGAATATGCCTTTTCAAACTTTCCTTTCAAATTTCCTCTCCTTCATAAATTAAACCAACCTGAAAGTATTAGATGCTGCCTTTAGAATTCTCTTTTGTGATCCTTTGTCTCGCTCATCTCACCAGTGAGAGATGCTTGGATCTGTTTCTGATTGGTTTATACCTATTATAAATCACCAGTGAGACACTCGAAGGAACAGGTAGGGCCCACGCGTCGCCCTGCACTCCTGAGCACACAGTGAGCCTCCCGCTTGCTGCTCCTGCTCTGCAACCTGGTACAAAACAGGCAGACAGAAGATTCCTCCCAGGCAGATCCTGGTGTGTACCCTGACCTTCAGCACCGTCCATTCCTTCCTCCTTCCTCAGAGGCTTGAAACTCAGCTAAAAGCATGTTCTCCAGAACTCATCTCTCAGTGGGACTGCTGTCATCTTCCTGTACATCCAGAGAGCTGTTCTTGCTGAGGGAAAGTTCACAGTATGAATAGAATAGATCAGAAGTAATGACCGTTTAAAAGCTCCCTTAATTGGAAAGTGTTAAATATAACTTGTAATTCTTAAGTTTTTGTTTGTTCTATTATTTGTACAAATGATGAGAGGATCGCATCTCAAAAATAAGTTCCACGACTGTTTATTGCATTACCAATGTGTTCTATTAAACAATTTCAAAGGTGTTTATGTAAATATATAAATACATAAAGGTATGTTCTGTTGTTACACTCTTTTATGTCGTATGCAACTATGATCATTTGATTGGTATAAAACCACAGAGCCCAGGGGCCTGAGATATTTTCCCTATTTAATTCTTTATTAAATTTCTATTTGGTTACAGCCTTAATTAGGAATAGGAGATGTTTCTTAATGTCATTTCAAAACAGTCTTTGAGTTGGGGATGTAGCTCAGAGGTAGAGTACTTGCCTAGCATGTGTAAGACCCTGGGTTGAATTTCTAGAACCAAAAGGAAAAAAAATAGTTTTAAAGCAAAAGTAGAAGGATGACATTGTAGCCACACACTTCACTCTGGGTATGTTATGTTATAGAAGAAGGTACAAGTTTTACAGTCCAGTTTGGCTCAGCATTTCCCATTTAAAAGTCAGATTTCTTTGTGAGGCATCCTGAACTCACCATCATCATTTATTTCACCCAACACATCTTCCAAAACAACATTTTTAATTGTAATTTGACTGCATTTCCCATCGTCCGATGCTGTTTTTGAAAGCCAGCAAAGATAGGAAGATTTCTGGAAGATTTGTTTATATTTCCATAAAATATTTTTGTGGTCTAATTAAACCAAAATGGTAAGTACATTTTGACAAGCATGCTGGCTCTCATCATACAAAAATGAAGTAGGGGCTGTGCCAATTTTAGGTTGTTAGCTCTGGGAACCTTGAGATTCTTCAGGCAGCTGGGGTTTGTGACCTTAAATAGGCCTGTCTCCATGAGCACTTGGAGATGCGCCTGCATGTAGCCTGAACCTTACGAAGCTCAATCCAGAGAACCACTTTTCCCGAAGTGAGAGACGCTATGCATATCCCCTGAAATAGCAGCCCACAACTGACCATTTCCTATCTCAAATACGAAACTGGAACAGGGCCCATATGTCAAAATCAACTTTACCCATTAATATACAAAAAAATATCATTGCTTCACCTGACCAGCCAGCCTGAGAACCAAATCAACACCAAAGCAAAACAACAACAACAACAACAAAACTATTTGACTACTCCTACCGAGGTTGGTCCCTGCAGACATCCGCATTAGTTCAGCGCTTCCAGTCTTCCCACCACTGTACCGGGATTCTTGTGTCTGTTTTTCTACCCCTGGCCACAATTAGAATCCTCCTCCATGAAAAGATCTCAGAAGACTATTCTCAAAAGAATATAAATGGCTAAAATAATTTGCTAATATTAAACAGGGCAAACAGATTCTCATGTTGGAATTGTAGGCTTCGGTACCAGGCCAGGGAAGACCATGTTTTTGGGAGAGGGTGTCAGGCACATATCCTACCAGTTCTTTCCTAGAACTCCCCACAGCCGACTTTATCCCGATACACCAAGCTGAACAAGTTCACAGACAGGGAAGCCAGTGGATTAGTGTGTTTTCCTTAGGACGTGCTATCTGAGTTAAAGCGATCAAATCCTTCTATTCTAACAAAATGTGACGGTTAGACTCAATAAAATAATTAGAAATAAATAGTCTTTGTTCCGGGGTAGAATTCATTACCACCAACTTCTTAAAATTGGCTTAAAGGAATTGGAAGTACCCCAGAATGATGCTCTTATTTTCTAACCTTAGCAGAGTTACGTAACTGTTACAAAGAACAACAAAAACAAATTTACCCATTTTTCCAATAATTCCCCTCCTAGTATTGGTAATTCTTAGTAACATTATGAAGGTTTTCATGTTAAGTATATCAAGTGCTTCTTGAACTTCTCAGCCACTATTATTTCCATATTTTCTATCCACAGTGCCAGTCCATGTTAATATTCATTAAAACATCTGCTATTTAGTGCCATAAATTCAATGTAAGAATCTATAACTGATCAATGTTATCATATGTAGCTCTCAAAGATTCCAGGCAGGGAAAGGAAAGTGATAGCATTCCACTGGTATTGGAATATATAGCTTTCTTACATAGAATTATTTCAAAGGCATGTTTAATACAACCAATTTCTTCCAGACCCATTTTAAGAAGGAATGTAGGTCTATAATCTATTACTTAGACTGACTCTGTGACAACTGAGCAGAGATACATCCACTTAACTTCTTAGGTGAACTGCATCAAATTTTCAAATTCTGAAGGTTCAGAAATCACTGATTCCAATTATAACATTAATTTGCTTTAAAGAATTACCCGTGATGAAAAATAACTTCCCTTTTAAACTAATTCCAACAGAGTGATTTAGACATATACCTAAGACAGTTTGTACATCTCAATTTGTGATCATTTGAAAATTCAATTTGCAAGCCTAGGTTATTTGCTTATGATTATGTCTTGCTAAAGCTGTGATTCTATCTTGTGTTTATATAGTTGCATAATTAGTGTCTGAAAGATAGACATTAGATGATTGGGCAACTAAAATGAAAGTCTAACCTAAAAGTGTTAAAATGTGCCAATCCAATTCATGTATATTACAATCATCCATGAATATACTTCCCTATGAGGTTTGACATATGATTAGTCTAATTCATATGAAAATCCCCAGTAAATTATTAGTTATTTTACATGTTTATCAAAGACTTATACTAGCAAATACATAGCATGTATATAAGAATAGAAATGTCAAAAATAAAATGAACACTGTACTGTCTTCTATAGCTTCACAAATATGTAAAAAAATTTAAACACACCCATTTGTCCTGTTTAAGGTTTCAGGCTCTGTATAACTATACTCCTAGGAATGAAGATGAGCTGGAACTCAGAGAAAGCGATGTCATTGATGTGATGGAAAAGTGTGACGATGGATGGTTTGTTGGTATGTGTGCACTTCCTTCAGATACATTTGGCTATTTTATAATTGGCTTCAATTTGCCCAACTGAATGTTTCACTATGATAGTTGGGCTTTCTTTGAATTCACAATGCCTCTGATCTTTCAAATTTGTATGCACTGTATAATCCTAATTGCATTTTACTATAGTTTAATATTTATTGCTCAGGTGTATCTGACTTTCTGCTAGTTTTATTTCAACTAAATTGAGAAAATAAAATTTCCTTCAATAACACTAAACAGGGAGGACTGTGATTTAACAACAATAGCAAAAACAATAAATGTTCAGTGGGAAATGTCAACAATGATAATTTCTTTTTTTAATTGAGTTTATTGGTACATTTTAGGTATACAGTACAGTTACATTCATTATTGGGATTGTGTACCTTTACATGACAGGTCTTGGTTCTCATTTTTTCCCCTTGTCCCTGCCCTCCCTGCATCCCCTCCTACCCTCCCCATTTACACTTTTTTTCCATTTTTCCATTTTCTCCTATTTTTTTTCTTTTCCCTTACTACCTTTCCCCTACCCTTTCCACTTCTCCTACACCTTTAGCCCTTTTTTTCCTATTTCACATTGTCAATTATCTCATTAGGATCTTATGTACTATTACAGTTTATTCACACCAGAGAAACTATTCGGTATTTACACACGTGTGACTTATTTATTTCACTTAGGAGTATATCCTCAATATGTATCCATTTTCCTATGAATGAACCTAATAACAGTGATAATTTCAACAGGGATAATCTCATGTGCAATAGAGTAAGAATGCATGCACAACTCATCCATTTCCAAGGTCTGGTGTAGCTTCTCTAAAAGTCCAGTGCTTCCTCTTAGCTCCAATTTGTAGTAGAAGTGGAAAGAAGTTCCAGTCTTCCCACTTCAAAAGCAGTCCCATTCTTAGCATTTTAGAAGAAGACTAGAGAGCTGGGTGTGTAGCTGAGTGGTAGAGCACGTGCTTAGCAGAGGAGCCCCCTGGGTTTAATCCCCAGAACAAAAGAAAAAAGAAAAAGAAAGAAGACTAGAGCTTTTCTGAGAAAATGTTTGTAGACAAAAGTATCATATACCAGGGCACAGCAGGAAAAGGTGAAAAAGAAATACAGTATGTTGGAGGAGAGCAAAATCCGAGGAAATGAGGGCTATGGATACATCATGCCATGGTGAGAAAAAGGAAAAAAAAAAAAAAACTCTGAGGCCACATTTACAGACACAAGCCTCTGATCTATTTATATTGATTCTCATCTTTAGGAAAAGTAAAACTGGTTTATTTTGGGGGATGGGGGATGTAACCAAACTAAGATAATAAACTCCAGAGGATTAAAGAGAAATGAAACTTTGGAGATCCTGTTTCACTGTATTTTTACTGGTAATTCCAAATAAGAATTTAGTGCAACAAGTTTTACAAAAAGTATCCCAAAAAATCAGTGTTTAAAACTAAAAGCAATCATAAGGAAGGCCATTTGTGCATTTAACTCACCATATTAGAAATAGTGTTCAATGATTAAATTCCACACCTACCCACAGAAGTAGTAACCTTATTTTTCATTAATGACTTTGTACAGTGTTCAATTTTTCTATATTTTATTTAAAAATCTGGCTTTCTTTTAAATGAATAAGGTAGCACTGAGCATGAGATAACAGAACTTTTGATATTGGTGGTTTCCCAGATGATGCCTTAATTTGTCACTTGTGTTGAGGACAGCTCTTGTCTCTAACCCTTGCTCCTGGGCTTTTCCAGTCCCCCCCTCATACTGCCAACCTTCACGTTTGTTCCTCATTCCTTGCTCTTGTTTAGCAGCCATGGTGATTTGAGTTCCATCACCCACCTTCTCTGCAGGATTGTCTTTCCCTTTAGACTAAGAGGCTGAACTTTCTTGTTTAGCTTGAAGCACATCGCATATGCTTAATAGGCAAAGAGCACATCAGGCAGAATAACTAAAATTGCTTACTTTTTCTTCTTATAGTCTTAAAGTGAGTTTCCTTCTTCCTTTCCCAACCCTTGCAGTCTTGCTCTCTCACTGAAACCTTGTAAATGGGAACTGTTCAAGTTTGCATATATGAAGTGACATTTCATTGTTGTTACACCTTTTCATTTATTGCTTCTATTTTCAGGAACCTCGAGAAGAACCAAATTCTTTGGAACTTTTCCTGGAAACTATGTCAAGAGGCTGTGAATCACTCTCTCTCCTTATTTATGCCACATTTCAGCAACACGTCTGCATAAACTTGCCTGAAACATCCACGCAGGCCTCTCATCTCATGCCTTATGATTTCCAATATGCTATCACCATCACCACCTCCTGTCACCAAACCGCTAGCACAGTAACTGCCGCTGTGAGCCCTGGGGAGACATGGCATCCATAAGAAAGTAGATCTTCCTGCTTTCTGCCCTAAACTTTGGAAAGTCAGTGTGGGGATCAGAAATAAAATTATTATATTTAAAAAGAGTAGAGTAGTTGAAAGAGAACAAAAGAAAGTCTCCAGGAGGCTCTCTGGTCTCATGGCTATAATTCAACATCTGGAAGATATTCCTCCCCCAGGCAACCAGAAGATTGTTTATTTCAAAATGCAGTGGTTTGCATATTCACATTCTTAGCTTGGCACCCTATTTTCTTCTCACGAGTTTGCCTGGTGTCCTGGTTTACACTATATGACAACTGTACTTCAGCTATCGTTTGCCTGCACTTATATGTTATTATATGCGCAGTAATTATAAAACCTAAAGCAAGAGTAGGAAAGTTAATTCATATGGGTGTGATTTTGTTGATTGAATGTAAGTTTTCAAACAGGAGTCTTTTCCTGCAATTTTTTGTACTTTTTAGAAGTACAAACAGTGAGTGAATAAGAGAGCCTTTGGTAATTATCATGAGGATAAAGGATTAGGTAGACTACAGAAAAATTATTGTGTTGTAAAGTTGCATTGCTATTTTATATTAAAATGTAATAATCAGCATCATGAGCTCTTAGTGTTTTATTTATCTGATAAAATTTAAATAAAAGCAGTGTTAGTGAGAGGTGCAAAGTACTATTCTAACATAGACACTTGAAAATATCCGTAAGCAATATTAGTAGGTGAGATTTCACTGTGTGTACACATACACATTTGAGATTGTATGAGAACATATAATCCATATGATATGTTGTACCTTTTATGGAAATGTAAAAGAATACTACATACTATTTTATAGAAATAGAGTACTTCAGAAGCATCACAAGTATTAAGGCTGGTTTTAGCAAGGATTATGGTCAATACAATTATTTTTACTATGATAATTATTTTTCTTCTGTGGAACCCAGAATCCTGGCTACATTTGAGAACAGGAATATGTTGAGCCTGATTTTCCTGGTGTATGTAAAATATTTCCTAGGAATAAATTGGGCACTTTTTAAAGACTGTTAAATCATTCAGGTTATTTTTTTTTTCCTGCCCTAAAGCAGAGCCTGAAAGATTTAATAGGGTTACTTATTTCCTAGGAATAAATTGGGCACTTTTTAAAGACTGTTAAATCATTCAGGTTATTTTTTTTTCCTGCCCTAAAGCAGAGCCTGAAAGATTTAATAGGGTTATCAGTGCCTGAATTGCATAAGCCCTGAAAACTAGCTTTGTATTTCTTATGAATTTGCATAAGAACTGTTCATCTTTGGATCTTGAGCACCTTATAGATAAACTTTTTATGGCATTTCTTCATGGACAGTAATTGATCTTTTCACAATATGTAGACTGTAGTATTTTGTATATGTTTGTCCTTTTTTGTACAGACTGTTTAGTTGTTGGGAAACAGGGGAACTTCCTAATTTGATCTTTATCCTGAACTTCAACTAAGCTAAAACACTTTCAAAAGATTGTCCATTAAATATCTTGCAGATCACAAGCACCCCCTTGATAGTGTGATTCTAGATGATATGTAAAGGTTTAAGAATTGAAAAGGTCTTAGCAGCCAAACTGAAATGTACATTAGTACTGATTACAGAGGAATTTCATTAGGAAGAAAGTAAAGGAACATCTTTGGGTAGCTTAATGTGATTACTGTCAAGTTCACAACCAGCTTTATATTTTAAAGGCTTTGGGTTTGAAATTAAGTCAACTGCATGCAGCTTTGCTGATAAGTGAACTAATTCTCTTTGATACCATTTATGAGACAAGACTTCAAAATCTGTTGCCTGTGATATTTAAGAAAAAGTATTGTTTCTATTCTCTGTATTTGATTTTAAAAGAAAAACTATTCATACCTGACTTTCAGGTAATTGACTGAATTCTTACAAGCAAAGATCATTGTGTTTTTCTTGAGTAGACATCTAATAAATTTTGCTTGGAAGTGTAACTTCAGTTTTTCTTCTGACATTTATCCTTACATACTAGTGTGTTCTTTCCATTTTTAAGTTAAAATAAGAAGATATATTGGCTCTGTGTTCTCTAGACACATAAATGGAGAAAATATGTGCTAAACATCACCTCGGAAAGGTAGGTATCTTTCAGCCCACCACCGAAGCTCACTTATGAAACACTCTTTAGCTGAAGATTATTCTTCTGCTAAAACAATAAACTTTAAAATATTTTTGTCTCAATTTAAATTGGCTATTTTCCATTAAATTGCAAGAAGTTGTAGCATTTTCCCAATACACCTTTCTTAAAATTTTAAAATTCTTGCCTTAAACATCTTTAGCACAATTGGCATGGCAGCTTCTATTAATAACCACAGGACTTCATTGAATTTCACATCATGTGCTGCAATGGATCATCCTTTCTGTCACACAAATGGTAGAGTTAGCAGCTTTCCCACTTCAATCCTTTTTAATATACCTCAGTCCCTTGCTCTTTCCCCTTGCTCTGACTCTCAAGTAGTCAAAATTATGGTCATTCTTCTGTTTGATAACTCAGGTATCAAAGATGTCTTGCTTAATCTTAGTATCTTGTTGAATCTGGTCAATTTTATTGAATAATTTCCATGACATATTAGTTTTTCACTAAAATGTGATCCCTTTGTGTGAAGAATAAACCTCATATTTTTATGATGCTATTTGCCTTCAAGCATTTGTAAGTAACTGACAAATCTGGATCTGTGCATCTGGGTCAGTGGAAGGACAACAGGAAGGGCCCCTCGTGCCTGGTGTTAACCCCACCTTTAGCTATGCTATTCTTGAAAGCAGGCATGTCTATTTCTTACTTGATGAAAAGCAGAATCTCTTTGAGTAACCTTCTGTTTTCATAATTATTCACTGCTTGATCTCCCTTTGTAGGTGGTCAGTTTGTGTGGCCCAATAATTCCTTCCTACTATTTTCCAGATTTCAGCCACAAAAGAAGATATATTATTTTAGAAATCATTTGATTAAATAAGACTAAGCAGTCTTTAGCTGCCAAGAGTCTATTTAAAGATTTAATTACTTCAGTCTCCTCTTGAAATTATAGCCTTCTAACAGTTGATTATATATCAATTATGATTTCAAATTATTTACTCATTAATGATTAGGATCAAAGCACAATCAGAAATTGGCATTATTAATAAATGCTCTACAGGAAGGATTGGCATACTGTGGCTTGTGAGGCAAATTCAGCCTGCTACCTGTTTGTGTATGCCCTGGAAGTATAGTCTGTACAGATGAACACTGGCCATCAAGTTGATTATAAAGGACACTAATTTTGAACCCTAATTAAGTGAAGTATTAACTTCCCAACAAATAATTGTTTTTCCATTGATGGATCCATATTAGAAAAATTTGTACTCCATTTTTGCCATTATAATCTTAACTTCATCAGCGCAAATTTGCAGAAATTATTTTCTCTTGTGATGAAAGTATATACATAAGAGCCTCACAAAACCTGAAACATTTACTATCTGTCCCTTTACCAAAAAAGCGTGTGAGTTGTTAGTCTACTTTACCAGCAACAAACCTGAAAAATGAACAGAAGGAAAGGAATATTAAAGTCTGTTGCTTTTCAGGCTGTTGCTTACATGTGTTTGGTGCCTTTCTCTACACACACACACACACACACACACACACACACACACACACACACAATATCTAAGAGGATATCTGCTTTGTTTCCATTTTATAGATTAAAAGGCTGAAGCTACAAGAGGTTAAATAATTTATCTATCTCTGGGGTGATAACACATGATGGAAATTGGATTCAGAATCTGGTGTTTTGATCTCCCAAGCCTGTACTCTTCCTTGCTTCTAAACACCCCACACTAGGTGCTGACACACTATCGATTAAACTGTGCACTCAGAGCTAATCACCTACATTCATCTTCTTTCCCCACCCACTATTTTCACAAACCCTGCTATCATAAATAGCCACAAATAGCCACCTCTCACCTCATACCTCTCAACTCATAGCAGCATCTTACTATGCACAGGATGACAAGAGAAACGCGTCCCCAGCACTAATCTACTTCCCTGAGAAAAGCCATCTTCGGTTTCTTAAAGTACACAGTAAGCAATGAGGATACATTTCAGTGATTGTGATGTCTTCACTGAGCTTGAACATCCATGAGATGGGATTCATGAAGGCATTAGCGGCTGTTGCCCATGAGCTGGCTTAGAAGTTGGTGATGCTTTGGGGAAATTCTTAATATTGTCAAGTCACTTAGAGACAGGCAAGCCCAGCATTCTCTAGGAACATGGTGTGCTTGCTGGACAGCTTTTAAATATACAAGGCCGCAGGTTACACTAGCGGTTCTCTGCTAGATGACTTGTTAAGTGGCCCAGAACCTTAGCTCACTGCTAAATTCAGCCCCTCCTGATCTCAGGAAAGTTCCATCTTAGCTCATACGCATACATATATCTTGACCCAAAAACCTTTCAGTACAAAATAGAAATCTGCTTAGCAAATCTTCACCTGTTCTTTTGGAGTTTCTTGTTTCATCCTTTCTCCTAAACTACTGTGGGCAACTCAGTTGTCCCTGTTTCTTCCAAAAATAAGCACCATTTCAAATAAAACTCTTCCTACTATTAGCAGCATCAGTGGACAGATGCCAAATCTTGCACTGACATTGCAGGAAGCTTGAAAGTGATTTCTAAAACAGGTATTTTTTTAATTGAACAAAAGAGTAGATGTTAGTTGTAGGGAAAATTAGAAAATATAGTTGGACAAAATAAAGAAATACTAGGAATTCTGTTTGGGTAAGGATTACACTTGAGAGCATAGCCCTCCAGAGGATTTTCTGCACATGCACACATGGGAATTTAGACAAAACTGGGATCATATTGAACATGCTGTTTTGTAAACTTCACCTATGCTTGAGCAGGTCTCTGAAATAAAGTGGACAAGTCTCTTGGACATTACCAAAGTCCATGAAAAGAATAAGGAAAGTCAAGACAATTCCCAGGATTCATGAAAATGCAATTAACTCAAAACCCTAAAACAAGAATTACAAATTTACCCCAGACTAGAAAATCTAATGTAATCTGAAGAATTGGTTGAAGGTAAAGATGAAGAAAGAAAGGAAAAAAAATTTATTATCTCCCTATGTGCAGTAGGAGGATTTCCCAGATAAGTGGTCGCTGGAGAGATATTAAATTGAGAAATGCATGAACTGCAGGATATTGTGGGAGAAGTTCAAGCCTGGTAGGGCCAGGTGCATCACACTCCTGTCCCCTGAGCTAACTCGGAGACCTTACTAAGGCTGAGCTAACTCAACTAAGTGCGTAGATGCTGGGTCCAACAGGCTACACCTCCGACCCTAGTCTGTGACTCCTTCACCTCGCCCAAGAAAAATCACTCTGCCATGTCTGGCCAATAAGATATTGCCAAACGTTAAATGTTCCTTCCATGCTCCTCCCCCATACTTCCCTATATAAGCCTGTGCACTTCCTGAATAAAGTGGAAGCGTTCCAGAAACCTCCCCAGAGTCTGCCTGGTGATTCCGCTCCTTGCCCTCCCAGTCCATGAGTGGACTCTCCAGACAACAACAGGATATAACATCTAAATCATCCTGTGAGTTAGCAAAGTGAACATGTTTTCAATCACTATTGACAAAACAGGTAATAGTTCCTTTTGAAAGTAGATATATCCCAGAAAAGTTAGATCTAAAATGTCTTCATAACATGCTAACATGATGCTTCTTTACTGCACACGATTTTGTCCCTCTTCCAGGGGACATTTAGCAAGGTACATAGACGTTAGTGGATGTCACACTATTCTTACCATCTAGTGTGTAGAGGCCAAGGATACAGTTACCTTCCTACAATACACAGAACAACTTCACAACTAAGAGTGATCCAGCCCAAATTGTCTAGTGTTGAGGGTCAGAGGCTCTGCCCTAGAATAACTCACATGCTTTAGGAGAATTACATTGTCAATTATATTAGAAAAGCATTTTTAAAACAAAATCCTAAATAAAAGAGCCAATATTCCTAGCCTAATGGTCTTTGTCTTTTGCCCTGTGACTGGCAGATACAGTTCTTCCACAGAAAGCAGCCTCTTATCCAATTCTGCAAGTAAG